CCTGTTTTTATCTTATTAGCTAGACTATCCAATGGTTTTAAACAGAAATTAGATTGCATTAACATGTTTTCATCCCACTACATTTCAAGAGCTGCCCTACATTCAAGGACTTGTTTGACTTCATGCGCAGACTGGCACCTTTACCTTCTATCTGAAACGCTCATGTTTTTGCAGACGCTTTTCTGGTGCCTGGTGCACCCTTCAGATCCTAGCAGGGCCGTTGTTTCTGCGCAGTTTCCATAAAGGGGTCAGTGCACGTTTGTTTTTCACTCGAGGACGGGAGCAGTGTGTGCTGGGGCAGTAAAGCCCGATGCTCCGGAATCCCAGGCCCGGGGCTGTTTTGTTCCCACCCCTTAATCTCCCGCCCACTGCCTGTGGGACTGGGAGGAAGCAGTGAGGACCGTGCGATGTAGTGTTTGGCTCAGGAATCCCCTTGGCCAATGTAAATGGCTGCCGTCCTATGGCAATCCTGCAAGTTGTAATTTTCCTGACAACCCAGTACCTAAAAGCTCTGAAGGACAACAAGTCATTTAAAAGAGCAACAGTCATAGAAAATAACTTTTTAACTTTCTCAAAATATAAGTATATTTTTCTGTACCACCAGAGCTTGAAAATGAACAACTAAACTGTAGCATGTTTTTACTAAGTGATTAAAAAAATACTGTTTTCTTCCATTTTCTCTTTTCTCAGAAAAAAATGAGAGCAGACATTCTTTCAGAAAATTCTGTGCATTATTACTTATTACACACAAAATGCATTATTATACATTCAGGTACATAAGCTTTAGCTTAATCGATTTAGCTACTTCAGTTGTATTTCTGTGTGTGTGTGTGTGTGTGTGTGTGTGTGGGCATGACTGTGTTGTAAGTCTAATATTAGATAAATAGATAAGAGTAACACAATTCACTATTCAAAGATGATTTATATGTAACAAAGTTTGGCTTCTCATTATTTTGAATAATCAGTAGTTTCTTCAAAATGGTTTAAATTTTATTATGAGTTTGTAATTATGTATTACTTTTTCTGTCATAGTCTGATTAAATAATTAGCTTTACATGCACATGGCCATATGCATTTTTTTGGTGCTCTTCTTCCATTTTCCACCTTGGCTGTTTTTGTGGGCTTAGAAACTGCTGGAAGAAAAATTTTCCAGAATGTATCCTTTCTGGCGGGGTGCCCATATCCTTCCAGCTTTCCAGACCACCAAGACTTTCTTCAGAGTCTTTTTTGATTTACAAACTGTTTACTCAGTTATACAAGAAATCCCCAGAGTCTACATTGCTCCATGATACATTTACAGTATAGGAAGTTTAAAAAAATGTACCTCAGACCCATAATTATATCTCCTAATATACAAATGCGTGAAGAATTTAATGTCTCTGCTATATTTCTTTGTAGTAAGACTGATTTTTATATTTTTAATATCAATACATTTTTATGTTATTTAGGGAATAAATATTTGTGTATTCTTCATTCTCTAAAAATACAACACAATATGAGAATTGGGTATAAATGTGTATCATCAGTAAACAGCATGATTTTACATAATTTACATTTTAAATTGTGGCTTTAACTGTGGTTTGAAAGTCAGCTGCCTGACCTAGGTAGGAGCCATAGGTTTTTCAAGCGGCAGTGGCAAGTCACGTGGAGATTCCTCAAGCCCTTTCTCTGGCTTCCTGAGACCGTGGAATAACTGAAATACTGGTTGAGGTCACCTCTCTGTGAGTCAAGGGGCACTGACTCGCACGCCATTCCGTGTGCCACGGGAGTCCCTTGCCCTCCCAGTGTTTTGAGGGATTCCAGGAGAGGATGGGCAAAGTCCCTCCAACCCTGAGCCCATGCACCTGCTGAATGTGACCACTTTGTGCATTTCTTGGTGTCACAGGGGTACTGTCCCTGCTCCTTCCTGCATCAGCCAAACCTGGAACTAAGACCCATGTCTTCATTTCACGCACACACGCGTACAACGAATACCACTTACTGGAGGCCTTCGTGTAACTAGCAGGTTTTATTGACATTTTGGTGAACATTAATAGAAAATAGAATGAAAAACTTGCAACACAAATTTTTCCCCCCCATAATTTAATACCTAAAAGCTTAAATCAGATGTTGCTTTTAGAGTATGTCCCTTCGTCAAGAAGGCTCCATGTTTGAACATCTGCACCAAGGAGGTTCCTTTCACCTCCGACCGGGACTGAGTGGTTGGTGTTAACTCAAGATTTGCCCCTGCCCCGATTGCCCAGGTAAGGGAGCAAAGAAAAGCCTGTCTGCTGGCCCAGACTTTGCAAGCCTCTCAGCACAGTGAAGTGAGTGCTGCTTCCTAACAGGCTAGAAAGCGTTCACTTCTTTCCCCTCCACAGCAACCTCCAACATTTTACATGGTGCCTTTTCACTATTCAAAGATGATTTATATGTAACAAAGTTTGACTTCTCATTACTTTGAATAACCAGTAGTTTCTTCAATAATGTTTAAGTTTTATTATGAGTTTGTAATTATGTATTACTTTTCTGGTCCATAGAAGTAAAAACAAAAAAAAACAAAACTATGACCCCAAAACTCGTAATGGCTTCTCATTTATGAAAAAAAGATAAAACCCGCCCCACCCCAGACCTACCATGCTTTGCAATGACCACAGTTAGGAGCCTCAGCACCGCTTTCAGAGTCGGACAGCAACAGTGCAGCGCCAGCCTCTGGCTGTCCGATGGCTGAGCCCCTCCCTACCCGGCAAAGCACCAAGGACCCCCCCCCGAGGACTTGGCCATGAGGGCCACCATGGCTTCCACTTGAACGTGTGCCCCCAACCCTGCCAATGTTAAGAATGGGCTTGATAACAGTATGCAAGGCAGCGACCTCCTCTCCAGTTTCTTTTGGGGAACTGAGTGGTTTTGCTCTTCAAGATGCTCTACTGTACAAAGAGCTTGGGTAAAAAGGTGATGGATAAAAAACAATATGAAACTCCCTCGGAAATGCTACATTTTGTTTCATGGACTGATCCACAAGAGTATAATAAATGGAAAGAGAGATTCTCACAGCTGCTTCCCATGTTTTGTACAGGACCTTCAAGGAACTGCCTCGCAGATAGATGCAAGACACACTAAAATTCTCACCTTCATCACCTACATTGGGTGTGGAATATCTGCTATTTTTTCAGCTGCAACTCTCCTGACTTACGTTGCGTTTGAGTAAGTGTTTTCTGTCTGCCAAACACAGTGCTAACTGTTCTGAAGTGTGAGCAAGAAAACTGCCTCAGCTTTGAAAACTTTCATGCCCTTTGTGAATCATGGAGGGCAGTTCAGTTTTAATGGTCAGGTTTCTCGTAAGATATATCATACAGCATGAATTGTCCAGCTGTATCATCTTAATTCACTATCAGTGTGTTCTATTGATAAAATGCATTTACGCCTTTTAGAGATGATTGACAAGTAAGTAAATAAAAACTGTACTCAGTGTTTTTTACATGGTAAAAGATGAAAACATTTGCTTCACAAATCTTACAAAATTAGTCCTAAAACAGGAAATTTTGTTTTAAGAACAATCTTCACCTCATGAAAAATCAAGGAACTTCAAAAAATTTTTAAGGAAATCATTTTTTTAACAAAAATATCATTTTTATCTTTAGAACTTTTCTGGATTAAAAAAAAAAATCAAGCCGTTGAAACCCATTGGCAGTTTTGCAAACAGTTGGAGACCATTTTGAAATAAAACTAATATTTACAAAGTCTTTCTAATTTGCCAAATGCTCGCAAATATCATTAGCCCTCCCCCTGGTGGAACCATGTCATAGAGAAGGTGCCACCTCGCCTACTGCAGAGCCGTGTAAGATATGAATTCCCTGCCTGCGCTTACAAGACTTATTTACAATATTAGTCCCCCAAATCTTTCTTGTTTTTCTTTTTAGAAAATTGCGAAGGGATTACCCCTCCAAAATCCTGATGAACCTGAGCACGGCGCTGCTGTTCCTGAACCTCAGCTTCCTCCTGGACGGCTGGGTCGCCTCCTTCCAGGTGGAGGGCCTCTGCACGGCCATCGCTGCGCTGCTGCATTTCTTCCTTCTGGCGGCCTTCACCTGGATGGGGCTGGAGGCCATTCACATGTACATCGCGCTGGTGAAAGTGTTTAACACTTACATTCGCCGGTACATCCTGAAGTTCTGCATCATCGGCTGGGGTGAGCGTCCTCAGAGCGTTTGGTTTGGTTTTCCCTGTCCTGGGAATCGTCATGTTCTCCTAGGAAAATGCTGTTTCGAAAGAAGAGCATTGCTAAAAAGAAACTTCAGATTTACAAAGGATGTGGCTTTGACAGGCACACCTATCCTGAGGAAGGAGCTTCCTCAGAACAGTAATTTTTAAAAACTGTTCAACAGGCCTCACTAAATGCAGGAGTAAAGGCAAAGCCCCTAGCCCCTGAGTCACCGCAAACTTATTTCCTGTGCCCTGAGCCAGCCCACCCAGGTCTGAAGAGGCGGCTGGCAGACAGTGCTGCATTGCCTTTATGTTTCAAAATATAAAGGCCGGCTCAGACTCCTAGCTGTGCTCACCCCGAGACACATGCCCGTGCCTTAGAAACCAGAGAGAATGTTATTTTTGTGTGTGCAACCAGACTACTGACAGAATTCCTTCCTCAGCCAGACAAGGATGGTCGTATTAGCCTGTTTGGAATCTTCTAAATGGCCTCCTTTCTGTATCTGGTTTTATATCACACCAGACATTTTAGAGCTTGCTCACAAATCTTTTTCAGATGGCAGTGTAGAAATATGAGGCATTTCCAAGGTGTTCAACATTTTAGGAGGCATCTTTAAGGGAATTGGGACAGGGCAGCTTTCCCCAGTGAGATATACTTGGAATTACTTTACTTATTGAGTCTCTTGAGAGAAAAAGGAAGACTATAAAGACTTTATAGTCTCAGTATTTCTCCCCCATTTTTTCTAAAGACTTTTCTTTATATGGGGGGTGGGGAATAAGCTGTAATTCCCGTACTGCCTGAGCTGTGGCAATCCAACAGGCATTATTAATGGAACCGCATTTGCTGGTCTTAGATTCAATATAAATCAGCTTCTGGTTCTCTAGTGGGTACCAGTAGACAGACAAATATTTACCTGTCTGTCATTAAAGAGTAGGTTTTGATCTCTGACAACTGAGTTGGATGTTTACACCAAGGAGAGGACTTATTTATTATTTTAACCAAGCTGCCAGTTCTAAGAAATTTGATTCTGCGATATGGAGTGTTTTCTTTTCTCTTTCCTTGCCGTTATCAGTCCTATAAAGCAGTTCCAGATGCTTCAGTAAAGTTGCTCACGGTGTGATCTTTTTATAACAGGTCTGCCTGCCTTCATCGTGTCAGTTGTTCTAGCAAGCAGGAACCAAAATGAAGTTTATAGGAAAGTAAGTTACGGAAAAGAAGAAGGCGATGACTTGTAAGTAATAAAACTTGTCGGGGATTTATTTGCGATGAGTGCATACCCTTTGTTTCCTAGAGTTTAGTGTAAGTTTCCATGGCAGCAGTGAGCCTCTTGTTTTAGAAGGTTGAGCGCCTGTGCAGGCCTTGAGCAGGATCCCTGCTGCACCACCGATGAGTTCGGTTGAGAGCCCTGAATTGTTGGAGCTCCTTTCCTGCTACCCCTGTGTTCTGTCAGCTGGGGGAATGCAGACGCCTCAGGCACTATCTGCTAGGCTCAGAGGACCCATGCCACTTGAGGAGATTTTGTAATACTCCCAGCTCCTTAAACCCACGTAATCTTTAAGCAAGTTAAATAATAGTGTCGGACAGTAATGCTGATGAGTCAATGCTAATGCGAGTGTTACATGTACATGGAGAAAATGGAGACATCAGTGAGTTCTTGAATAGTTTAGAATTTTTTCGTCAGACTGTGAGATCATTGAGGCTAAGGTTTTTATATTGTTTACTTTGGGCAGTCACTTCTCTCGTATTTTATGCAGCACCTAGTAGGTACTCCAGGAGTAATTGTTGATTGAATGAATCACTGAATGAATAAAGGGCTTACTCCCGACTGCGATGACACGTTACTCTGCATCACAAAACGAAATTAGACATTTCATTGTGACCAATGTAAGATTTTTAATTGTGCGTGAGAAGTGTCACTATAAGAATATCACAGTTTTACAATAAGGTCTTGCCTCAACTAGACCAATTACATTAATGGGAATTATTTTGCAGTATGGCGTCCACGATTATGTGTGTCTTAAATAAATAGAAATTTACTCTTCTCGCATGACAAAAAACATAGAAATAAGCAATAAACTGGCATAATTTAATGGCTGAAATGCCAGGGCTGGAATGTCTGCAGCTCTCTTGGCCTTTCTCTCATAGGCATAAGGTAATTGCTGCAGCTCCAGAGCTTGCCCTCGTGTTTAAAGCAGAAAGTATGAGCAAAGGCCTTGCCAGCTGAGCCTCTCAAGAGTAGCTCTCCCAGACTTTGCTTCCATGTCATTTTGTAAAATAAAGTCCACGTGACCACCCGTCTCTTAAATACAGAAGAGACTGAGAGTATGCATAAATTCCCCGTTTTCTGTAGTGCAGGCACATACGAGAAAAGGGGGTTAGACGCGGTGTTGGGTGAACCAACCAAGACTGTCTTCACGCCACGTCAGAATTCAACTAGCCACCTGGTTTTCTTCTTAACTCTTGACTTAAGTAACTAGACATTAAGATGATTGCTATCCAAATCAAACAAAAAAAAACTATGAACACATCAAAAAGGAAACGGAGGCCCAAGGAAATGACGTGACCTTAAGGATGTGAGAAAGGCCTAGCAGAAGCCTGCAGAAGCCCACCCCAGCCGGGGACGTCTCGGGCGAACAGGCTCGGTAATTAGTCCCTTTCCCTTCGCTTTCTTCTTCCCCTTCCAGATGTTGGATTGACGACAAGGTGGTATTTTACGTGACCTGTGCCGGGTACTTTGGAGTCATGTTTTTCCTGAACGTTGCCATGTTCATCGTGGTGATGGTGCAGATCTGCGGGAGGAACGGCAAGAGGAGCAACCGGACCCTGCGCGAAGAGGTGCTGCGGAACCTGCGCAGCGTGGTCAGCCTGACGTTTCTGCTGGGCATGACGTGGGGGTTTGCTTTCCTAGGCTGGGGGCCCTTATACGTCCCCTTCATGTACCTCTTCTCCATCTTCAATTCATTACAAGGTAAGATAAGTGGAACCTGGACAGCTTCCACTTTCTAATTTTGTCGTATTTGCGGACAGCCTCACTGTGGGACAGATGCCACACTAAGTTTCTGCATCACTCTTCCAAGTGCAGAGTGTAGTTTCAGGCACAGGGTGGGCACTCTTGAAGAAGGTCTTGAAGGGAGAATTGAGGTAGGATGTCAGTTTGTTTGTGTGTTTCAGCGATATACCCCAAGGACCTAGGACAGTGCCTGGCAGATAGTAGGTGCTCAACACACGTATGTTGTTGCGTGACTGCAGGTGGGCAGAGAGGTGCCCAACGGGAAGTTTAAAGGGGTGCACAGACAACTTTCACCCGTGACAGTGTTGCTGAGTGTTGGTGCTGGTCCTCGCAGAACCCCCTCCCGTGTGGTGTGCTGTTCTTGGCCTGGAGAATGTTTAGACTCTGTGCAGGGACAGAGCAATTCACTTTGATTCTTTGGCTGCTTGGATGTCAAAGTAAATACCCATAGTCTAATTCAGAAATGCTTATTTTTCATGATATATGGCAATTAGTTCAACAATTTAGCAGGCACTTGCCAATGGCCTGCTTTGTACAAAACAAGGCTTCCTTGAAGGAATATATCCTTAGTGTACATGTGATGAATTTAACTTTAAGCTTAAGTGAACATAAATTCTTGTTTTGAAAATTAAATGACACTCTTCAAGGCTTTGGGTATACCCTCTTTTGATAAACTTCGTAGAGTTCAGAAGAACCATGAGGCCCACACTCCAAAAGGAATGAGGGCAAGGTTTGGAATCTTTTTTGAGCAGGGTAATGTTACTGGTCTATCAGAAATTACTGGCATGTCCTTGTAGGTGTGTGGAAGGAAGGGCTGACTAAAGCAAGCTGGACAGATTTGTGCTGGGGTCGAAAGTGTAGTGGAAATCAAGTTTGTGCTACAAACCAAATGAGACGCCTGGCAGGTGCTCCCCACAGTGTGTTCTAAGAGAAGTCCGGATTTACCAGCAGGAGGGCGTTTGCTGCTTGGTGTTGCATGGACCTGCTTTGCTCTTCCTCCTAGGTTTCCCACTAGCTCATGAACTCCTGCAGAAAAATTTGTCACATAGCTGGCGCTTAACAATTGTTTGTTAAATGAATGAGTGGATTGCTGGATAAAGAAAGGGAGGGTCTTTGGGGATGGCCTAAATCCAACCTGAGACTCCTCTGGCGTAAAGCCACGTTAATTAGCTCAGCAGATTCGATTCGGGTTCACTCTCCCATAACGGAAGAAATACGTGGGCCCATTATCTTTAGTAAATAGAATAATAAACCTCAAGTGCACCTCCAAAATGTGGAAACTGAAGGGGTAGAGTGTGCATACATCTTCACTGCAATCTAGCTTTGAAAAGCGACTTTTCCTGTATTTAATCTGTCCTGTAATATACAACACAAATGTCCCTAGGTAAATATTGACAAAAATGTCCATTAACATTAGAGATTCAATGGTTTTATATTTCAGGATTGTACATGAAAGGCACATTAATCTACCAGCCCAACTTAGTTTTTGCTTGTAGAATTTTCTGGCAGTTTCTATAACCTCCAAGAGCCTGCCTGTCCAGTTCTGTTTCCGTTAATGAGAAATGAGTTGTTGTTTTTTTCCCAGCTTAGGTCTCCTGTCAGGAGGAAAAATGTGATCAACCATCATCAAGTTATAGCCTTCATAAATCACTGACTTCTAAGACTAAATTTAAATTATATAAATTCAGAACAGATTTCTGCACATCCAATGATATTAATAATACTTCCCAAAAAGGAAATTTAAATTAAAAGGCAGGGCTGCAGAGCACATGAGCTTACCAACAATTGCATACTGGCCAAGCCTGTATAAAAACTCCTCAAGACACCACAGGAAGGTATTTAATGGTTTTTATTTGAGTCATTTTTTGAGCCTTCCAAGAGAGGTTTGTTGTTTAAAGTATATGCTTTATTAAAGAAACATGTGGAATTTGGACAGTTTAAAGAAACAATTCAGTGAATGCAAAATGAACTCAGGTAGTACTTAGACAAACTACAGTATGTCTGTTTCTTTTCTAATATTCTTTATTCCGGAAAAACAAACTAACAAACAAAACTTGATGTGATCCCTTATGTCACTATATAAAGGCACCTGGTGGTGTTAAGAGCAAATGTCAGAAGACATGAATTCTAAGCTGAAATCTGAAGGATCAATAGGAACTAACTAGGTGAAAGTTAGGAGCAGAAGTGGGGAAGAGAATATTCCAGGTAGAGGGCACTTCATGTGCAAAAAATATGTTGTATAGTAAGTCCTCACTTAATGTGGTCAATAGGTTCCATGACTTTAAGCAAAACGACGTATAAGGAAACCAATTTTACCTCAGGCTAATTAATATAAACAAGAGTTAAATTCCTATGGCATCTCATGAACGTTATAATGAAATGACATTATTTGAGGATCTGCTGCACTTGATGATTATAACATCTGCTCAGGGAATTAATAGAAAGCACATATAACCTAGGAACCAAGAAAGAGCCAGTAAATGACAGTGGGGTGGCACAAAAGGGAGTCAAAGGCCCCATGTTTTGATCTTTATGAGAGCAGTGTGAAGTCTTTGAAAAGTTTCAGGCCTTTGAAATGACTTCATGCATCTTGTAAAGGTGAAGCTGGACATAATGTAAAGAATGGGTTAAAGCAACCCAATAGCATCTGTATGGAGAGTAGATAGGAGGCTATTGCAGTGGTTCGGGTAAAATAATGTGGTGTACAGTATTTTAGACTATGGTGAGAATGGGTGGGGCTGGAGAGATGTGAGCAGGAGTCAAGAGAAATTTAGGAAGTATGTTACTACAAAACACTCATCATTGGTTTGGTCCTTAAAGTAAACTCTTATATACCTAATGATTTGGGTAAAATTAGATTCCATTAATGTCCTTATTAATGGAATATTATAGTTCATTGAAGCCTATCATAAGACTTAGCAATGGCCAAAGACTGAGAATGTAATACAGTATTCTGAAAACAAACTTTAATCCTCTCAGATTCAGCTTATAGTTGAGCATCTGAAAATCACAGGGTCTTCATTATGAATGCCACAAGTTATGAACTGATCATGCATGCCTGTAGTACTATAGACATGGGACCTGTGGGAGGGACAGGTGTTTGAGCTAAGTCCACAGTGATGTCACAGCATGTATATCACAGGAGTGGCCTTTGCTAGCAGATTTCTTTTAACTTTTGTGTATGTCTTCAAATATTTGGTTAAAAAATGTTACAGATTCTTAATAATAAATGCATATATTTATTTGGTTAAAATAAATGATTTTATTTTAAAATAAAAATTTTAGAAATAAATTTTTAGAAATAATACATATATTTTTAAATGCATGTATGTGTTTATATAAAAATACATATATACATGTGTAATTATATGGGTACTCACAAACATTTGCAGAGCCTATAAAAATTTTATAAATGCTTTATTTTTATTTTGTATGTTTTATTTTTATATTTTTTATATTTTCTATTTCTATTATTTTTATATGTATTTTTATGTATATTTATAACTATGCATTTAATGGCAAAATCATGTGAAATGATATCAGGAAATTATTATAATCTGTGCCACTATAACTAAAACTTTACCTACTTGATTAAGCAAATGAAATCATGAATTGGGTTAAGGCTGAAACCAAATTTATTATTTTCTAATTTTTAACAGTGTATTGCTTTGTTCTTTTTATTTTGCCTACTCCACTTGTTATATATATTAATCATTTCATTGAAATTTTTTCTCTAAGATGAAAAGATAAAGATATCTTCTCTTAACATAGTCAAATTCCAAATCTCTCTGCTTTTGCTATCTTTGCTCCTTTCCCAGGATGAACTGGCCGATCATTGTATCAGAAATTTTACTTTTTTCTAAAGAATATAACTTGAGAAAAAATTGTATGGCATACAAATTGTTATTCAAAAGAGAACAGATGTTTGACAAAAGTCTATCATAATTCACATGCCTGAGAACATTAGCTTTCCTTTCAACAAATACGTAATTCATCCTAAAGAAATAAAGGGCAACTCCCTGGTTACCGAGAAGCTCTTGGCCAGAATCCTGATGGCATCTCTGTCCCTTGGCAATATCGATGCTCTTGTAGGATTGAATTACTGCTCTGCGGTGCGGCATGTGCACATAGTTGCAGGTTATGCAAGTGAGGAGCAGTATCTCAGACTGTTTTTCTTTCCATTAACTGTACAAAAGTATTTGACACTCTCAATTAGATTAGGCTTCTTCAATATATAGGGAAGTTTAATTCATCTAACAAGAGCTTGGTCTTCAACTTTTCTTTTCCAGGCATGTGAAACAACATTGATTAATAGTCTCAGGTGTCATCAGCCCATCTTCAGTACATATATGTGACAACATCATACAAAACAACATGTGATTCTACAAATAGAAACGGTGATGGCAAACACTGAAGGGCATTATCAGTCTCCCCAGATATAATGTTTGCTATTAATTAATTTGATAACATTAAGATACCAAAGCAACAGAAATGCCTTGTATTTGTTTAGTGTATTGTTATTTACAAAGCCTTTTCACATATTATCTGTCACCTGATGTAATTCTTGCAGCAAGTCTGAAAAGTAGGTATCCAAGAAAGAGGACATTTTTCCATTTTATAAAATGAGAAACAGGCTCAAGAGAGTCAGTGACTTCTTGAGATCAATTTGAATCTGACAACATAATATTTACCACGTAGCACATATGAAAATAGAAAGGCACGTTATTCAGGGCCAGAGCATAAGCAGAAAAGTAAAACAAAGTGCTGTCCTTTTAATGTTTTATTTTAGAGTTTCTAGAAAGTGAGTTTTTGCCTCCATTTTTTAAAAAAGCTGTTAATGTATGTTTAATGAATAAATATGAATTTAATCTCTTACCCTTATTCAGCAAAAACCATTAAGGGAAATATTTATTATTTTAGTCCTACTAGTAAACTAAGAAAATTAAACCAAATTACCT